GGAAGTTTTCTGGGGTCTTTCAGAAAAGCTACATAAAAGCAAGGTGCTATTAGGAAATGAACTACTCGATAGCAAAACGGAGACAATTATTACAACCCCCTGTACCTGTACTTCAGTACTGTGTTTCTGGTGCCCCCCATCTTGAATGACTTTAGGAAATGTTCAGGGAGGACAAATACATCACAAGTTATGGAATGGTTTGTAAGAGGAACAGCTAGAATGTAGGCCTCTAAGCTTGGAAAAGAGGCCATGCAGAAAGAAGTGATATAACAGTGTGTAAAATTGCTTTGTGGCATGGTTTGTGGAGAAGATGAATGGGGAGCAACTGTTGGCTCTTTTCCAATAACACAAAAAAAACCAAAACCCTGGGACCCATCAAATGCACCAATGGTGCAGGTAGCCATGAAACTCCTTTCTGCAGGGTATGGCGGGTGCTAGAAGCTTACGCAGGTTGAAAACCCAGCTGTATGCACCAGAGGCTGGTAAACAGCTGGCTCAGAAGATCCTCGAGCCATGAACTGCTAGAGGCTGGGAGGGATTGCTGCTTACTTGCCCTGGCTGCAATCCCCTCCATCCTCATCCTGCGCTGAACACTGATTCCTGGGCTTAGATGGACCATTGTTCTGACCCAGCTTAGCAGCTCCTGTGCCCCCAGGAGGTGGTCCCACTGCTGCGCCTGCCCCTTAGTGCTCCCAAGGCAAGTCCTGAGCTCTGCCTAGCACCTCGTGTCCTTCAGCTGGGCCCTGGCTGCACGAAGCTTGTGTTGCTTGTGGCAACAGCAGCCTCCAGATAGGCTGAGCCCTGCCTCTGCTCCTCCAGCCTTAGGTGTTTTCCAGTTCTAGCAGAATTCCCCCAGAGTGAAACACAGGATGCTAGCATACAGCTCAGAACCGGAGCCATATGGCAATCTTCCAGCTGTAGGTGACTTGTACCTAGAAGGACTTTTACCTCTGGCAAGCCGTGAGCCAGTCCTTTCAGAGCGGTGCTAACGCTTTGCTGCTGCCTATTGAGATTCCTGTGTAGTCTTGGCTTGATAACCAGTTTATCTTGATAACCTCAGTGGCAGCAACAGAAAGTTCTTGGTTGGGATTCCAATGTAACCGTCTGGTTTCTAGTGGATCTCCAGACTATGTCAGGCCCTTCTGAAAGGTGAGAATAGATGCTGCTTTTAACCAGGCTTCCTTCTGTGTTCTGGTATGCGGCTGCTGTTCACACCAGCCTTGTGTTTGCAGCTGCCTTCTTATTCTTAATCTCATCTTTTGTTGCCTGAAAGATGAGATTTTTGGAAAATGTGACTAGTGGGTATCTTTTAGTACTTTCCTTCAATATATTTGAATATCTGGCAACGTGGCTTGCAAGAGCTGAGGCAGAGCAAAGCAAGAACTGAGGCAAAGCAAGGGTTAAAAGCAGAGCTGAGGAGGAGAATTGCTATGTTATAAATTAGAAGCTGGTTGAGAGAAGTCAGTGCAATGTGTTGTATCTGTTCCTCTGTGCTGTGCACAGATGTCACAGGGGTGGCATTTAATGACTAGGAAGGAAAAAACAAAAAGAGTAGGTAGGCACTTCTAGAATAGAGTTGCCACACGCTGTAAAGTTATTTAGGCTAAACAAGGCCAGAAGTGTTCAAAACAGACCTGGTGCCTGGGAGAGGTGAGGTTCTGTGTTCATGACTGCCAGCGCAGGGGGAGAAATATCACACATGTAAGATCATGGATTCGGTGGGGATTCTTCAAATCCTTCTCCCCACGTGGAAGGGGATGAGTCTCTCAGAGAAGCCTTATCAGGGTACAGTGAGACAGCCAGCTCCTGCCTGCCCGGCTCCAGAGTGCTGCCAGTTCATGTCTGCAAACCAGGAGGGAGGGAGGAAGGGAGGGAGAGGCAGGCACTGCTGCACCCTCGGCATGGTGGAAGACGGAAAAGGAATACTTCTATGGACAGTAATGTGTAATGGAAAGAGAAGAGACTCCAGTAGCAATGTGGCTTGGTCACTAATTCCAGTGATGTCATGTGCTGCAGTGTCTGCTCCGCGCTGGGTAGGCAGCCTGCAGTGGCGTTGTCCTGTGTTGGGCTGTATCCAGAGGAAGGGACTGAAATCCTGCACTTCGGGGACCTGGGTATAAAATGTAGATCATGGAGCACACGCTCTGTTGCACATAACCCCATAGATGTATACACTTCTGTAGGGGCTGAATACACAAATGACCAAGATCGGATTGGTAGGTTTTGCTCCCCCAAGCTGTCCATCCTGCTAGGGAGGACAAGGATGTCTGCAAGTCCCACCTGCCTGATATAGTCAAAGGGGAGTTGCTGAGAATAGTGAGGTCAGTTAGGACCCTGGCTCTTGGCTGTAGTACCTAAAACGACATTCACATGCACGACCTGCCTACAAAACTCCCTCCTGGACTGGTGTTTGGGGTTTCTTAAGAGAAAGTCTATTTCCTCCTTTGCTGTTAGACAGGCACACTTTGGAGTGTGGGTCAGTGTGGTGATCCCAGGTCCTGCTGGCAGCTGCTCCTCTATGCCAATTTCTCCCCACTCTGTGTGCTGCTGGCTTTGCAGGGCAGCACAGTGCCCAAAAGTTCTTGTGTGTTGCCCAGAGAAGCTGTGGCTGCCCCATCCCTGGCAGTGTTCAAGGCCAGGTTGGACGGGGCTTGGAGCAACCTGCTCCAGTGGAAGGTGTCCCTGCCTGTGGCAGGGGGTTGGAACTGGATGAGCTTTAAGGTCCCTTCCAATCCAAACCATTCCATGATTCTGTAAGTATCCCGAGCAAGGGAACAGTAAAAAAAACGAGGCTTCACACTGCCCTGGCCTCTCCAGGAGACAGGAGGAGTGTTGGTAAGAAGAGGCACTGGAGCTCTGTAGCCCAGTCCCCTGTGGTAAATAGGACTGTCTGGGCACTAAGTCACATCCCTGTGGCACTGCACAGCTGAGCTCTGGGAACCATCAGGGATGGAGATCCCATCACCTGCTCCAGCACTGCGCTGGCCTCCTAGTAAAAAGGCTTTTCCTGATGGATGGTGATGCCCTCCTCCACTGGCACTTCATTAATCAGCTCCGTTTGCCAGGTTTCCCCAGCAGGACAGAATCAGGACAAGCAGGGCTGAGGAAAGCGCTTGCTCCACGTTTTGTGGCATTGCTCTTGGCAGGTAAGGGGGTAAAATCAGGGGTACGTGAGGGAGGATGCTGGCAGAGAGCACGGGTTGCTGCATAGGCACGGAGGCTGCGGTGCATGTGGGGAGAGTGAAGTGACATGTGACAGGAGGGAGTCAGTGATGGTTTTCAGGGCACATGCTGGGAGGTCTTGGAGCTGGAGCTGCTGCTTCAAAACAAGCCTCTTGAGCAGGATCCCTTTTGTCCTTCTGTCCTTCCCTTTGCCCTGGCTATTTATTTGGCACTACTGCTGCTGGGCGCATGGCTCCAGCTGCTGTTGCAGCGAGGGTTTTTGGAAGACAGAGATCTGCTCCTGTCCATTAGGAAAACCTTCCTGTGCTCCTCTCCCTTGACAAAAGCATTGCTCGCAGTAGCTCAGCCTCTCTGGCCAGTTGCTCTAGAAAAGTGTTAAAAAGGAGGCGACAGAAGGAGAAGGAAAGCTCACTTCATTTCCCACCCTAAACCCATATGGGTGGGACTAAAATCCCATGTGTGTGATGGGAGGATGACACCCGTGGGAGTCATGGGTGTGCCAGGGAGGATGCAGCCACATTACCGGTGGGAGAGGAGATGTTAAAAATGCAAATGGAGAGCCCAGAGTTGCAGGCAGGACAGGGGAGACAAGCAGGTCACAGGACAAAACTGATGCTGGACACAGCAAGGCAGGAGAGGGGAACAAATTTCATTTGGTCTGCTCCCAGGCAAGAAAGGCAAATGAGTAATGGAGGCCTGGAGGAGAGGCAGCAGAGAAAACGCAATAGGCAGACTCCCAGTCAAGACCAGCAAAGCTGGTTACCGTCAGTGAGTCCAGGATGTTTCTGGAAGCGTGGACTGAGCCAAGGGAAGGGCTGCAGCAGCCCACTGGAGCCTGCCCACATCCTGCCACAGAGTTTAATGTAGGGCAGTACTGGGCATCTCCTTTAATTCAAACCCGTCGCTTGCTTACTCTTTGCTGTCGGCTCAGCTGGGATCTTAGAGACTGCTTTGTGCAAATGCCATGCTCAGCTGCGCAGTGAATGTCCTGGGGGAATGGGTAATGAGCACGCAGGCAGCGAGGTAACACAGGTGTCCACATCCCTAAGTGTTGATGTGTGCAGTCTCATCCCAGCGAGGTGAGGGACCATGCCAGTGCTTCTTGCAACATTGACCTGGGGTTGAGATCAGGGCCAGAGGGGGAAAGACTGTAGGAAAAGACCTAAAACATGGGGCAAGAAACAAGACCCGAGGCTGCTTTGTGAACAACAAAGGAGAAAGCCAGCCGCAAGCCAAGCATGATATTTGAGAGGCTGACTGCCTCCACACATCCTCCTCTGCCCTCTGGCTCGCCATTGTCCGGTGTCAGCTCTCCGTAGGCGACTGCTGATGGAGCAGGGGCACGGCTGCCTTTGGAGGGAGGCTCGAGTGAGGACAACGGGGGGGGGGGGGGTCGGAGGTGCATATGGAAAGTAATGTCCTTTTTAAGGGGGGCAGCACCGGGGAGAGCATGAAAGCTATGCAAATATTACTAATAATAAACAAAAAAGCAGCAGCACAGGCACACTGGGCTGGTGCTGGGTTGGTTGATGATGGGAAACGGTGCCCGGCGGGACTTCAGCTTGTGGCGCTGGAGAAGGACCCCCCCAGTCTCGCTGCTCGCGGGCCGCGCACGCCGGAGTCCCGCTGGACCCGGCCGCGCTGCCCGCCCGTGCCCCATCCCTTTGCCTGGGCAGCCCCGAAACCGGCCGGACCGGACGCTCCTTCCCCCCCCACCGGTCCCCGGGCGAGAAGGGGCGGGGGCCGGGCCGGGCCGGGCGAGGAAAGGGAGGTTTTCGCCTTGTCCCCTCCTCTGCTCGCTCCGCCCGGGGCCGGGCGGCGGGGCGCGGGGAGCGTCTCTCCGGCCCCGCCGCATCCCCGCCGCAGCGGAAGCCGCACCCCCGCCGCCCGGGCCGCCCGGGCGCAGCCCCCGGCGCATCCCGCCCCCCCGGCGGGGCCCTGATTGGCGCCGGCGGCTTCGGCTCCCCCCCCCGCGACCCGCTCCCCGTCCCGCCGCCGCCATGAACCCGCTCTTGGGCCCCAACCTCTTCCTTCTGCCGCAGGAGCAGCAGGGGCTGCCGGGCCCCGAGCTGCCGCCGTCGCCCGCGGGCCGCCCCGCCGAGCCCCTCGGGGGAGAGCTAGCAGCCCCGCCACCCGCCGCTCCCTTTCCCGCGCCGCCCGCCGCCATGGCCCTCCGCAACGACTTGGGCTCCAACATCAGCGTCCTGAAGACGCTGAACCTGCGGTTCCGATGCTTCCTGGCCAAGGTCCATGAGCTGGAGCGGCGCAACCGGCAGCTGGAGAAGCAGCTGCAGCAGGCGCTGGAGGAGGGCGGCGGGAGCCGGGGCCGCGGACCCCCGCGCCGCGACCAGGCGGTGCAGACCGGCTTTATCGGCCCCATCCGCTCCCTGGGGCTGGGGCCGGCCCGGGCGCTGGGGTCCCCCGGCTGCCGCCCCGGCGCGCCCGCCCAGCCATCCCCCTTCCCGACCGCCTCCCGCTTCATGCCCGGCACCATCTGGTCCTTCTCGCAAGCCCGGCGGCTAGGCCCGGGGCCGGAGACCACCCTGGTGCAAGGGCCGGGGGTCTCCTGGGTCCACCCGGACGGGGTGGGCGTGCAGATCGACACCATCACCCCTGAGATCCGGGCGCTCTACAACGTGCTGGCCAAGGTGAAGAGGGAGCGCGACGAGTACAAGCGCAGGTGAGGAGGGGCAGCGGGAGCGAGGGGCCCGAGCTGCAGCCCCCGAGGGACCGAAACTATCGCCGGGAAGGCTGCGGGGCGCTACCCGGCGGGAGCCGGTGTGGGAGAAGCAGGCGAGGGGGAGAGTCAGCCCTGGTCTGGCTTCCCGGGAGCGCAGGCTCCAGGCTGTGAGAGGTAGGGTCCGATGGCAAAAACACACAGCCCTGAAAACATGTATCTATGCCCGGGTCTCCTCGCTTTCCTCCTGGTGTATGAACTCTGTCGGGATGGTCGCTGAGCCTTTTTCCATCTTACCGGCCCGGCACGAGGGACTAGAAATGCCTTTCCAAGCAGGGAAGAAATACCGTGACTCCAGGAGCTGGTGTTTTAAAGGGAAGGGGGTCTGGAAACACTAGTGAAGGAGGAGCAGCTGGAAAGTAGGTGAGGAAGGTGAATGTGCAGCAGCGAGCGGGTTTGGGTTGGAAAAGGCTGCTGGGGAGAAGCCTTGGGGTACATAGGAAGGCACCAAGAAGCCCCTCAGCAGGGTGGCTCCCCCAGGCCCTTCCTACCTCTAGTACTCTCCAGGGCAGTGCTTCAGCAGCAATGAGCGGTGTGGGAGCACCCCACTCCTCAGGGGCTTTCCTCCTGACCCAGAATAGCTGCGGCTTGGCACGTGCCTCGGAGAAGGGTGAAGCAGAATGCAAAGCTAATCTCTTGGCCGGTTCTTCTTTCCCGTGCCGGGCAGCCGCCACTCTCGCATCACTTCTGTTTCAACCCAGTTTCCAAAGCTGCTTCCAGATCCACACGTAGAATGAGATCAGGCAGGGGCTGGCGTCGCTGGGTCAGGGTGCGGGACAGAGTGAGACCGTTGCTGGCGACTACCCAAGTGACTGCTTTTTCAGAAGAGAAGTCACCTTAGGATGCTTTAGAAGCAAGTTGAAAGTAACCGATTATGTACCCAAAGGAGTGGTGTGCTCTACCTGCAGGAGCCACGCTGCTGACCTGTGCTTCACAGCCATGGGCTCTGATGCCAAGATCAAGGCCAGGGATCCATGATGACATCTTATGTCTGTGGCTTTATAAGGCTTTGGCTGAGTAGACTTGACTGTCAGACTCTCCAAAGGCACTGAGCAAGGCACATGGAAAGGAAGAGTTGGTATCTCTTCTTTCCTACCAATTGCTAAGGCCTTTTATCGTTAAGCCAGGGGTCAGGCTCCCTCTTCAGGGGCGGGCAGCTCTTCTTGCCTTGTGTTCTCAGACTGAATAGCAGAAAGCTTGAGCCAGCCTTTTGGCCAGGAGGGCTCAAGACTTAAAGCTGGAGGAGACCAAGTTGTGTTTTGTTGGTGATGCTCTGAGAGAGAGGGGAGCTTTTTGGAGTTGTCCCACTCTGTCAAGTGGGCTTTGGGAAGGCTTCAGGGGGGTGATGGAGAGAGCAGGGATGCTGGGGCAGGCAGTGGTGCACCACAAGCTGCTGCGGGCCAATGTTGTTGGTAGGATCTATTTTTGGACTGTGTTACCAGGAGCTGGGGAAAAGCAGACCCCACCCCCAGACCCTTTCCAGCACCGGGAACTTTCTGATGGGTTCAGCCAGGTCCCAAACAGGGGAATGGAACAGGAGGATCCCATTTCCACATGCTTCCCCATGCTGAGGGCTGACACTGGGGAGCAGACACTTCCCTGCCATGACTGGCTCTGACCTGGGACGGAGTGGCTGGTGTTATCCCTTTTCCACCTGCCTGGGAGCAGAGGGAAGAGGCCGTGTTAACACAAGACTTCCCGTTTCGCGGACCTATGGCTTGGGTGCTTGAGCTTGCGCTTCAGGGCAGTGTTGCCACCGTGCACCCCACAGCACTCAGAGCGGTGCCACAGAGGAGCTTCTTGTTGCATATGCAGGGATGGAATTCCAGTCTGGGATCTAGGAGAGGTGCAGGGGCAACAGGGTGGGACAAGAAGAGATGCAGCAGCAGGAGAAAGGCTCACAGGAGCTGTACTTGGGAGGAGTGGACTGTGCCTGGATGGCTTGCAGAGGGGCAAATGGTGCCTGTGAGTGTCATATAGACCTGCCAAGCACTGGGGATCTGAAAGTCTCATCAGGTTTGTGCTGTCTGCTACATCTGTATTCTCAAGTAGTTTCTATCTTGGATGCTACAAGGACATGCTGGAGGTGTGGGGCGAGTAGTGTTATGGCACAGTGTGTACGTCACAGGATGGTTTGGGTTGGAAGGGACCTTTGAAGATCATCTAATCCAGCCCCCTGCCATGGGGTTTCTCTAGATCAGGTTGCTCAAAGCCCTGACCTTGAACACTTCCTATAATGGGGCATTCACAATATGTAATGGGGCAACCTGCTTCAGTGTCTCGCCACCCTCATCATAAAAAATTCCTTATTTATGCCGCATCTAAATCTACCGTTTCAGTTTAAAACCATTGCCCCTTCTCCTGTCACTACAGGCCCTGGTAAAAAGTCTCCATCTTTCTGATAAGCCTTCTTTACATATTGAGAGGCTGCAAGAAGGTCTCGTTGATGTATTTACCCTCCGTGGAGGTGCACCAAGCTGCAGGGCATTCACCATTAAGATGAAGCTCAAACATAGTCCAGACATGGCCAGAGGGGGAAACTTAAGGTTCAAGTTCAGCTTCAAGCCCCAAATTCAAGCTTCAAGCATTCAAGCTTCAAGCTTGCCCCGCGGCACCGGCAGTGAGGCGCCCCAATGCCTTTTGCAGCAAATGGGGGTTTAAGGTTTAAGTGAACTTCTTGAGAGGACACACCTGGGGGAATGGGTAGCGGCTGTATGGACAGCACTGCATCTTGTCACGTCCCCTGCTTTAGGAGGCCTGCCCTGTAGCTGGCAAGAAGATGGCCGGGTATGTCTGCTGCTGGGACCCTCCTGCTCTCACTCTCTGCCTTCTCCCAGTGTGTCAGCCTTCAGGCAGGTTGTTGCTGTCTCGCAGCAGTTCAGGAAGGATGCGTGGGCTGGTGGCCGTGGGGTTGTGTGGGTCGCTCCTTGCTTCCAGCCGGAAGCGACCTGGCAGCACTGGGCAGCACAGTGGGTGCAGTGCTGCAGGCAGGTTATTATTAGGAGTGGTGCATTGCAGGAGGGAGCCAGGGAAGAAGGAGCCAGGCAGGAGGTGAGCAGGAGAGAGGTTTGGAACGGGTGGACGTGCAGATTCAGCACTGGCGGGGTGAATCGCTGCTGCTTCCCGCCTTTAAATCGGTGTTTATCTGATCTGTGCTTGTGTGAAATGAATTCTTCCAAGGATTAGTAGCTGTGCTTTACTTCCCCAGTCAGTGCGGGCTATTACAGAGACCCGGAGGGAGGCGGGGACCAAAAAAGGGAGGAAGTGCCACGCTGGGAAAGATGGTAAAAATTATTTCTTACGATGGAAGACGTTTTTCTCCCTGCGGACCGAGGCGTTGTTTGAACAGTTCCCATATAAGGGCAGTTCTAGGTTTTATCTTTCTCCTTCCCTCTCTCTTCATCTCCTTTTCCCCCAAAGGGATGGGAGCCCCTTTGACTCCCCTTTTATAGCTGCGGTGTGGAGCCAACACCAACAAGAGGACTGCATGCTTTGTCTTTGAGTTAGGAGCAGGGTTGCCAGCCTTAACAGCTTCGAAATTCAGAAGCTGGGATTCTCCCACATCATCAGCTGTGGGATACCCCGAGACATAACAAGTGGGAAGGCTTTTCATGCACTGTCTGGTCTCCTAGACCTTAGGATTTATTTTTCAGACTTGGTGTGAGTAAGCTAGAGGAGAGATATTTCACATCCTTGTGCAGGGTCACGGTGCCTGTGTTGGTGCTTGCAGGCATGAAATAGAACCTGGAGATCACAGCACAAGGCAGGGCCCAGCCCTGGTGGCTTTCCCAGAGAAATCCCACTTTGTTGGAGAAGCCTGGCTTTCCCAGAAGAGCAGGGAGCCGGGTGAGAATGCAGCAGCCCTGCCCTGTGTCACATTGCAGCGCACACGTCAGTGTTGTCTGCTCGATGAGAGAGTCATTTAGCAAAGAGCAGTACAGCCTAGTGGCCTCCCAGAAGGTGATGGACTGGGCCAACACCGCAGCATAGGCCAAAATGATGATCTCACACAGTTGAAATACAATAATTGCTAGGTGATGTATATAGCAAGGCCGGGCACCTTGAAGCTCAGTCTTTTGCAGAGCTGCAGAGCCTAATCCAGTGCCCGCCGGCCAACCTGGCACAAACTGGGACAGTCCATCCTGCTCCCTTGTAGGATGGAACAGTGTTCTTTAATCCAACCTGTTATGCAGCAGTACAGTCAAGGAGGCTTGTACCCTGTTCTGGATAGTGTGGCCTGGCGCAGGGCAGCCCTCTGCATTGGTACAGGCAGAAGAGCAGCCCTTCATTTTGGTGCACATCATGCTGCAGCATGGCTTGGTGTTAGGTTGGGGTTTGTACTTCTGAACAGCCTGAACTGCAGCACTGCAGCCATGCAAATGTGGTCCCAGATATGATGGAGATGGGGGCAACTCTGCTATGTCTGCAATCCTGTTATTGAGTGTCAGAGCTGAACCTAATATGACCCAAAGCTGAGGGGCTTAGGGCAGAGATAGAGAGGCTGGTGGGGATGTGCTGGGCCATGGGCCAGCCCCAGAGCGGCAGGGCATGCAGAGCAGCTGCTGCATGCAGCCTGTGGTTGGTGTCCCCAGCTCCCCCCATTGTGGAGCAGGCAGCCATTGGCCAGCCCCCAGCAGGGACAGGGGAGAGCTGGTGGGGCAGGGTTTGTGGCCAGGAGGGGGGCTGATGGGCTTGGCAGCTGCCGTCCTCTGCAAGCAGGCAGTGATGCATTCCTGGGCACGTTCTCCTTCCCATCATCACCCCCTCTTGGATAGCTTTGGGGTGAGCAGCTGCCGCTCCCTCCTCTCTCTTTGGCAAGGCTGGTGGGATTTGACCAGCGTGTATGTCTCCCTAGATGGGAAGAGGAGTACACGGTGCGTGTCCAGCTTCAGGACCGGGTGACTGAGCTGCAGGAGGTGAGCATCGCTGTCCCCCTCCTTCCCCTGCACCCCAGCTGCCCTGTGCCAACACTGATTTGCACATCTCCCTTTTTCCGGCGCAGGAAGCCCAGGAAGCTGAAGCCTGCCAGGAAGAGCTGGCCATGAAGGTGGAGCAGCTCAAGGCAGAGCTTGTTGTCTTCAAGGGACTGATGAGCAATGTGAGTCCCTAACCCCTCTCCGACCCAGCAGCAGTCTCTTACCCAAGTAGTGGGGCTGCAGAGAAAAGCAGTTCCTTGGTGGGACATGTCCAGCACAATGGTATTCTGGCAGGGTTGGTCCAGGGTGCAGCGAACAAAGTGGGGATGCAGATGGGGTGCTGCAACACAGGGGATAATGTGGAGATTGCTGTTTGCCTTGCCTAATGCTCCTACTTTGTCTCCCTCCCGCGGTGCTGTGGGTTCAGAACATCACGGAGCTGGACACCAAGATCCAGGAGAAGGCCATGAAGGTGGACATGGACATCTGCCGGCGCATTGACATCACTGCCAAGCTGTGCGACGTGGCACAGCAGCGAAACTGTGAGGACATGATCAAGATGTTTCAGGTGAGAAGCGTCTGCTGCTGCCCCAGGCTCAGCCACTGGCTCTGGGGAGGAGAGTTCCTGAAGGAGGTAGAAGAGACAACACCAGCCCCTGCTAGGGGAGACGCTTGGTCACCCTTGCTCCTTGCAGTCCCTTGCTCTCTGTCTCTCTTCGGAGGACCTGGTGAAAGGGCACAGAGAGGAGGTGGAAAGCTCCAAATGTTGCTTTGGGCACCGAGAGTCCCCTCAACCTCTTGCTGACCTGTTGCTCTGGGCCCGGGGATCCCGCAGTGGTAGGGGAGCAGCTGCAGGAGGGAGATGAGTTGCTTGAGTGTCTGTCTCTAACTCCATCTCTCTCCTTCCCCTTCCCCTCTCCGTCATCTTCTCTCTGTCTCTCTTCTCTGTCTCTGTCTCTTGTCTCTTTCTGGATGTCGCTGCCTTTCTGTCTCGCTCTCTTTGTCCTTACAGAAGCAATTGGTTAGTTCCATTCAGTTGGGAAAGTGTACAAATTTTAAACTTTGTGTAAATAAGGTCGGACTGTAAATACTGACATATGTCACCTTCTTCAGACTCTTGTCTTTTTTCCTGTTTCTGTCACTGTGTTTCCCTGTTTCTGTATGGGGCTGGTGGGTGATTTGAGTTTTTCTGCAATAAAGCCACATTGTTATTTTCTCATCAGAGTCATAGATCCCATCTTTAGTTGCTTAGTTTTAATTTTAGGAAATGCTAAAACCATGTTTTATCCATTGCACCATCTTTAACCTGATCATAATGAGCCCATCTCTCTCTTTCTCTCTTGCTTTTCTTCCTTCCTTTCTTCCTTTCTCTCTTTCTTTCTCTCTTTCCCTGCCTTTCTGTCCCTCCACCATTCCTTTCCCCTCCATCTCCTCCTGACTGCCTGCTCCCGACCTCGGACCCGGCCTCGTTTCTGTAGTCTCTGCACTTGTCTCCCGTTAAGGTCCCAGCCTCGGTGGGGCGGAAGCGGGAGCGCAAGCAGGTCAGCGACGAAGACACCTCACTGTCAGAGAGCGATGCCTCCCGAAAACCTGAAGAGGAAGAGGAGGACGAGACCACAGCCATGAGTATCAATGAGGAAATGCAGAGGATGCTGAACCAGCTGTGAGTGCGGCTCTTCCGCACCTCTGCCACCGGCGCAGAGCCAGGCTCCAGCACCAGGCTCCCCCCTGCTGCCTGGAATGGGGGGGTCAAGGAGGGCTGCTGCTCCTCTCACAGGGGAGGGTGAGATGGGAAATGCTGCTGCAGGGTGCATATACCCTATGCTCTGCAGCACAGTGGGACTAAACACCTAGGAGACCTGAGCCCACCCGTGCTGTGGGTGGAAGCTGGTCCAGCCCCCTTCCTCTTGCCCCCTTCCCAACTTTTGGGAGTCCCTGCCTGAATTTTCCAGGGCTTCTGACCAGCCCTTTCCCATTCCACTGTTGGGTTTGGGCACACTCAAGCTCACCCTGACCAGACCTCCAAGGGCTGCAGCCCTGCCTGTTAGTGGGGACGAGGCTTTCAGCACTGGTGCAGCCTTCTGCCTGCTGGGGTTTTGCTGCTGCATGCTGATACGCTGTTCCCTTGCCCCCAGGAGGGAATATGACTTTGAGGATGACTGTGACAGCCTCACGTGGGAGGAGACAGAAGAAACGCTGCTCCTCTGGGAGGACTTCTCCGGATACGCCATTGCAGCCGCAGAGGTGCAGGGGGAGGTAACAGTGGTGTCAGGTCCCCTCAGTGTGAATCAGCCTTGGGTTGGGAGACTCGGTCCTTCCTGAGCCTGGGAAGATGCTCCCTCAAAGACCAGACTTCAGAGCCTCCATCCCTTGCAGGCCTGTACAGATGCTTCCTCTCTACATCCCATCTTCTCCACGTGAATACGTTACTGCATCCGTGTGAAGGTCTCCTTGTTAGACAAACTGGGGATACGTAGCATGAAAGACGTGCTGAGGGCATGGCCCACATGTGAGGAGAGCCACAGCCTTCCCAGCAGAGAAAACCTCCTCTGGCTGGGCTGCTCTCTGGTGGGCTCTCCAGCCCACTGCCTGCTGTGCAGCAGCTCTGCCCAAACAGAGGCCTCGATGTCTGGCCAAATTCCTCACCATTTCACATCTTCGGCCTTCAGCACTCTCTATGGGATGTGTGGCTCTTGGGGGTGGTCTGTGCTCTCCAGAGCTGCTGGGCAGTGGCTGGGCTTGTTCTGATCTGACATGCTGACTGCCCTGCGTGGCAAATCCTGGGTCTCCCTACCCCATGTTGGCAGAACTGGCTTGTGCCTCATTTATACTACACTGCTTATGTTTTCCCAGTTCTTTCTCTGATATCTCTCTCTCTTGCCTTGGTTCCTCATGTTGGATGTTTCCGTGGCTCTAAACATGCCATCTCCTCCCTCCAACAGCAAGATGACAGCCTGGAAAAGGTGATCAAGGACACGGAGTCGTTGTTCAAGAGCCGTGAGAAGGAGTACCAGGAAACCATTGACCAAATAGAGGTAGGAGGAGGAAGTGGGGATGGCATGGCACAGAGGGGGATGGAGTGGAGTGAATGTCCAGGGAGGGAGACACCATGCTGGAGCTGGTGGTTCATGACGGGGGGCAGCAGCTTTGGGTCTGGCCATGCCCCCTGCCCTGCACCACACTGTGCTTTGGGCTTATCTCTGAACCATTTCCCTTGTGCAGCTGGAGCTGGCCACAGCCAAGAACGACATGAACCGCCACCTGCACGAGTACATGGAGATGTGCAGCATGAAGCGAGGCTTGGACGTGCAGATGGAGACTTGCCGGCGGCTCATCACCCAGTCTGGGGACCGGTGAGCTTCAGCGGGAGGGCCGGGATACCCGTGCTCTGGGCAAGGACTGGAGCCAGGGTGGTGGTGAGTGGGAGCTCCATAGGGTAATACTTGTGCCCTGCCCTGGTGTGGCACAGAGAGAGCGCAGTTCCCAGGGGCTGTTGGCTTCCTGGTGACCAGCGTCCACACAGGTCGTGGTGCCACCGCTGCAGAAGGTGGGTTGTGCACAGGAGTCAGTTTTGACAGCTGAAGCCATCTCATCTCTATCGCACCCAGCTGGTGAGAGGAGCTGCTGTTGTGCAGGGACATCATAAAAGTCCCCACAGGCATGTGGAGCCAGGGTGGCTCCAGGCAGGGGCTCTCTGTGGTGGGCTCTCACTGACCCCTATTCTCACATGCCTTGGTAGGGTCCTCCTCTGGGCAGACCCCTCCAGCACCAGCTCTGCTTCATGCTCTGGACCTCACTGATGGTGTCCTCTGGGACACCCTCACCAGCCTCTAAGGATTCCCACACATGCCCCACAGGAGTGAAAGAGACACTAAAGCTTCTCTCCTTGCTCTGGTGCCCCTTGCTCACAGCGAACTGGGTCCTTTTCCTCCCTCTGGTCAGTGCTGTGACTGTTGCCCTTTACTCTTCTCCACAGAAAGTCTCCTGCCTTCACCCCAGCCTCCAACAGCGAGTCAGCCCCGAACGAGGAGAGTGAGGAGTCTGACCGTGACCCTCCCAGTGACGCTTCCATCAGATAATGAGGGGAGGACCCGCTCTGTTGGACACCCTTCCTGGTACAGGGGTGCCTGAGCCATGCCTGAGAGAGACTGTCAGGGCCATGGAGCTGCTGGTAAACGTCTGTCGCCCAGGCTCACTCCCGTTTTGGGGAGCTTGGCAGATCCCGCACCCCCTTGCCACCAGATATCTCACAAATGGGAATAGCTAGATAGACCTGAGAGTCCTTGTTGGGGCTGCTCAGCCTCCAGCCCCTTCTCTGTTCCCTTTCCCTGCTATGGTTAAACCACGGTTTGGGCAGGGAGGCTCCAAATCTGCCACAGTGGCATTCGCCAGGACCTGTTCCCAGGTTCCTCCAGACCCACCTCCTCCGTCCTGGTACGCTTTGTCCTGCCCCCTGCCCTCCCTGCACCACATGGAGCCAAACAAGAGCCGTATCTTCCTGCAAACTGGACCTGACACTGGTGCCAACTGGACCGAGCCTGGGATGCTCTCTGTCCTTGCTGCTGGCCGGGTGCCTGGCTGGTCCCCGTGCCAAGCCGAGCACCCCAATCCCCCCCTGCCTCCTCCAGGGCAGGGGCTGAGCCCCGCTCATGGTGCACTTCGCTTTGCCGCACGTTGGCGGTGCGCTCATGTCTGTGTTACAGGGACAAGGGGTCATTAAATGGGACAGTTTCCTTTTCTACAGCTTGGCTGGGTGTGGGCTTTCCTTGTGCTGCGTGGCTTGAGGTTGGGGTTGTCCTCCACCGGACCCCCAAGCCCACGTCAGTGGGGGCCTCCTATGGGGTGTTCCTGGCCTTTGGGTGTGCTAGATGGGGCAAGATCCCTGTTCTGGGAGCCACTGGCTCTTGATGGGCCATGTGTAGCACTGGTGCTGCATTGGGTGCCTTATTCTTAACCAGTATCATCATTGACGCTGGGGCTGTGGGATTGAAAATGAAGCCAAATGTGTCTCATAACTTGTGGACCTTCCTCTCCCAGCACTTGGTCTCCTCTGCCACACCAGGGTATCAGTCCCAGAGCATCTTCTTGCTTGCCCCCAACCCCACATCCAAATTCTGTGTAACCACGGTGGGGTTTCCCCTGTCCCACCTTCTCTTCTGGCATTTGCCTGGCTGGGCCTTGCACATTCTCCTCTGGTGATGGGAGGCTGGGGTCTGGCAGGGTGGCAGGAGCGGGTGAACAGCCTGCCAAGAAGCAGTGTTCCGCAGGGCTGTTTGCTGACCTGGGCTGTACAGCCAAGGCAGGCAACAGTCCAGAGAAAAAAGCTTCTCTCAAGGTCCTGAAGAGAAGAGAAAGTAGATGACAGTGGAGGTTTTGGATCATCTCTAAGATTAGATAAGAAAGGTAAAATGAGGGCTGAGGGATGCAACAGTTTTATCTCTGTAGGTTTGGCTTGGGTAGCAAACACTGACGTGCACTTGAGCTGTAAGCACAGGCACATCCTCACACTGCAGTGCAGAGGGTTGGTGTTTGGGCAGGGTGAGGTTCTCTGCCTGTGCCTGCAAGACATGTTAAGGCATGTGCTGGCATTTGAGCATGGGCTAAGCTGGCTGGTTGCAGCCAGCATCGCGGTGAGGCAGGAGACATGAGGCCCTGCCCAGGGCAGGGCGCAGCTCCTGAGCGAAGGGCCTGCTGTGGCTGGGCTCCAACTCACAAGTGCCATCTTCATCTCGCAGGGGAGCCTTGGGGGCAGCAGGGTAGCCGCAGAAGTGTACTCCCTGCCCCATCTGTAAGAGACAGTGGGAGGTGAGGGCCTCTGCCCACCCTGAGACAGGGTCTTCATCTCCTCACCTCCCCTCCATGCCCCCTTGCCAACTGTTTCTGCTTCTTTCCCTCTTCCCTTTTTCTTCCTAAAGGAGCTAAAGCCAGAGGAAATACTGTAAACTGGCCTTTTCTTTTGAGTGGTGATGGCTCATGCACAGTAGATCAGAGATCACGTTCTGTCCTGCCTGAAGGATCTTCTAGTTCATGCAAATCCCCTCTCCAGTATGTGTCTTTGCAGCGTCTTCTGTTCTTTCTCTGCTGTGGAAATCTCTGTGAGTGGCTGGCTAAGCCTGCCTTCCCCTGTGCATAACCCATGACATGTACCTTGGCCTCTGAGTACTTCTTAAGAAACCCACAGGACTATAGAACATGTTCCCTGAGAGATTTCAAGTGTGAAGCACAGAAGGACTGACTGGTGCTGCCAGATGCCTGTGTACCAAGACACATGTGGACCCCAGCCCTACACTGCTCATCAGGGCTTCATTTGCAGTGAAGCTGAGACCTACTCCACCCATGTATTCTCCGTACTATCAGCAATAGGCTCAGATCCCCAACCACTGTGACAGCCCCTGACATCTCACTGCAGGGCCTGCAATGCTGATCCTTTGCCTCAGCAATTTCTCAGCATGAGAAGCACAGCCCAAGGCCCCCAGTACTAGATCATCTCTCCTCCATCTACCTGTCCATCAGTGGTGACCCCATATCTTTGAGGAGATGTGAACCTTCCATCTGTTCTCTGTGGGCTCCTCTTCATTCCTGGGGGAGTATCTAGCCTACTTTTCTCCACCAGGAGCCCTGCTGGGAACCATGGAGCCTAAGAACTGCTCAGCACTGTGTTGCTTCTCACATCCCTAACCTCATCCCTTTTCCAGGATGCTTCTTGGCAATCTCTGCTCAGGAAGCAGTATCAGAAGAAATCGTCTAGCAGAGACCCAGGTCATGGCTGCTTGATGTTTCTGAACACTTCCTGGTCTGTATTCATCTCACAGGCAATAATTGTATCTCATTTCCCCTTAGGCTCTAGCCCATTCAGAAATGTTTGTTTGGCCTAGGCTTTCTGAAAGACGTGGTTGCAGGGGCAGCTTGGGCGTGGATGGAGCGGGCCTTTTCCTATTCTTGATCAAGATGATAAATTGATGAAATGAACTTTGGAGGAGTGGGACAGTTACTCTTTCCAGCTGACCGTGCTCACCCACGAGCATGTTGCAGCTGAGTCTTACATGGTCCTTAGTGCACCAGCACAGACCCTGGCACGCAGGGGACTAAGTCCTGTCTCACTTGGTGTACGTACGTTAATGTTTACTGCTCAAGTACAGTCCATGCATTGATGTCTTACTGAATGGGGTTAAATGGCAGGATGCATCCAGGCCATCCCTCTGTCAGCATCCGTCTTTGGACTGTGGCTGCTGCCGTTGACCTCCATGATTGTTTGTCCAAGACCATCTGTACAGAATTCCTTCTCTCTGGACTGGCAGTGAGGTCTTCCCACTGAATATTTAGGCAGGGTGATTCAGCTTCCCCACCTTACAGAAGGCCATGTTGGTGGAGACTTACTCGAGCAGTCTGGAGCCATGCTGGTGATTGTTCTGGCTTCTCTCTCTACAGCACTTGGACCATTGTGTGTAGGTGAGGACGAGCACAGCTTCTGTATCAGCAGTGGGAGTGGCACAAAAACCCCTCCCTTGAGGCAAGAGCTGTCCCTGGGCTGGGACAGACCCACTTGTGAGCATCCTGCCTCCACAAGGCGCTGAGGGAGACAAATCAGCCTTTGAGCTGGGGGTGAGAGACACAGTTTGCTGCCATGGCCACTGTGCTCCATGCCCCGTGCTGAGATCAGCCTCTTGGCAACGGATGTCAGACTGTGCCAGGCATTTTGCAGAAGTGAGCCCTGGCTCCCTGCTGAATGCGTTTCTGATCCCGTGGATGCAGAGTGGCCTTCCCTGTCCCTTCGCTACTGAAGCTCCCTAGGACTCATCTGAAAGGTTAACTCTCATTCTCAGAGGCCATCTATGGCAGGATAGCTTTGAGACCAGCCCCACTGAGTTTGTAGATGAAGACTATCAGATCTTCCCAGAGGGGATGGGAAGTATCACACTGCTTATACCTCATCATGTGGATGTGGAATGTTCTCAGTGGCTGTAGAGAGGGTTCAAGTCAGACTAACTACTAAGTAGCCCAGATCTTATTCCCTGTATTGAGCAAGCATGCTCCCTGCCTTCACTCAGTCTTGGTTCCCATCTATTTTAGATCATATCTCAGAACTGTAAGAGTCTGACTTGTCCATCCACTCAGTTAAGGTCCTGTATTTTCCACCCAGCACCTTTCCACTGAAGGTGCTGTTCCACATGACTCAGTTTTGTGTGAGTTAGCTTTTCCCTGTTCCAGGATTCCTTAGGTGGGCCTAAATGTGATGCTGACAGCCTCTGCTGGAGCAACTTTTGCTTCCCTGGTAAACTGTTTGTTATTCTGTTTATCCTGTTTCTTAAGCAAGAGGTAGGAGAGATCAGAGCTGCATAGAAAGTTGTTCTTATTTCTAGCTTTGAGCTGCGAGATTGGCTTTCCTAAGCCTTGTACCTCTGCTACAAAGCTTAATTTGTTCTCAAGAAGGCCATATTCTTTCTGGTTTGTGCTGTCTCAGGTACCTGTGGCACAGAGTGTCCCAGAACTTGCACATGATGAAAGATGTCACATACTCTGGTTACAGGCAAGAAGCTGTCCTTTTGAGAGGTCAGAATTAGCGCAGAACACAGTGGAGTGTTGTGTCCTTGGAGGTGCACCTGGATGATGCATTCGGCAAGCCTCTATGCATGGTAAGTAACACTGTGAGCAGCAGTAAGACAGCATGGAGAACTGAGCGTGCTACAGACAGCTTTAAGGAAGCCCAGTCACTGCGGAAAATCCTCCTATGAGATCGTGAGAGGTGTTTTAGGTGTGAATTTTCTGAATGCTTGGGACACTTTCTCTTAAGATGGGAACAAGGAGAGGATGCTGTAGGTCCTCTGGCAGCGGGGGTTACAGGTTTCCAGCTTGGAGAACAGCTGTAAGAGCTGGGAAGGTTCTAAGGTAACGCTGTGGAAAAGGAGTTCAAGCAGCCACCAAAAGGTATCACCGTCATGCTGGACCAATATCACGGTAGACGGGAAGAGGCAGCGTTTTCACCTTCAACAGCAGACTGCATCTGATCTGAAGAGGGTGGAAATGGAAGTTCTCAGGGTAGGAGCAAATGTGGGTAATTGGTATTTTTAATGTTCACAGCCACATCACGGAAGTGCCAGCTCACCAGTCTGACTTGTTGGGTAAAGGTGGAATGGGCAAGAACAATTGTGAACTGGGGTTGCAGCCTGTGCTAAAAATCAGAGCCCCACAAATATGCTCTGACATACAGTTGTGTCAAGGCACTGAAGGGTCTTTCATATACATCTGAATTCCTACACAAAAGGTGGTGACTTGTTTTCTAAGTGCCTCTCTGCTTTGTGTGAAAAGGCAAATTACATTGTCATGGAAGTCTTTGGCTGGGGGTACTGGAAAATATGCTGTGCTGTGGAGTTGCTTATCAACTTAGAAATGATGGCATGCCCAAGTAAGGCAATGACAGATGAAGACTGGGTTGGGATTGATGCTTGCCTAAAAGACAAGGGATCAACTGAGAAACAAATCAAGATATCACCCAGGACAAAATGCCATAACAGAGTATTGCATGGTGTTATTTAGCCATTTCTTACAGTGAAGTTAAGGGAAGTATTGAAAAATGGAGATCTTTGGAAAGCAGAGCATTTTTCCAGTTATCCAAAAAGCTGTGAGTTAGTCCACATGAGAAGATAGCAGTCAGTAAACTACTTCTGGAATAAGTGGCCATGTGACAATAGTACTTAGAAAAAAAGAATAATAAAACCAATAAAGGCTGACCCTACTTAGTAATA